CATTATAAAAGTTCTGTTTATATTACTTTTTTTTCTTACAGTTTCTCATTCTTTCCACTTATTTTTTTTTCGGATGCAAGAAAAAAAAGAATTTCTAGAGTATTACTTATCTGTCTGGTACTACTTATTTGTTCAAAAAAAAAAACGTGTTGATAAAAAGTATGAATTTAGGTTACCTTTTTTCTGCAATTAACAGTTAAAGTAGCGCAGCTTATTGGCATTCACAACAAGAGATACCATTAAAATTTTCGTTGCAGCCATATATATATATATATATATATATATATATATATATAATACGCAAAAATGCTAACTCAAGGCGGATACTGGATAAGACTGTTTTAGTTTTTTGTTTATTTTTTTCTATTAAATACACAATATATATATATATATATATTGTTTTTTGTTTATTTTTATGTATTAAATAGATGCTTTATTACGAGACGTTGTTGATTTTTTATTTTTACCGTACGCTCTGTGATACCTTTTTTTCAACAAATATTTTGTTTTTTTAGTGTAAGCAAAGTTTCTACAAACGACTGCAGTCAACTGAACACTTCTAGAAGATGCCTGTTGGCAGAGCGGGAGGTAGATTTTTCAAATTTGATACTAAATACAGAAATAAAATGCATAGCGAATACATTTGGGGTTATTTTCATTTTAATTTTAGTTGGTTCAATGATAAAAAAATAGAAAACTGAATTAGCAGGAAAATAAAGAAGAAGGATTTGTTTATTATCTTTATTATTGTTCTTATTTTTATTATTATCATTGTTGTTGTTATTACTATTGTTATTATTATTAATTATTATCATTGTTGTTTATTATTATTATTATCATTATTGTCAGTTATTATTATTATTATTATTATTATTATTATTATTATTAATCATTATAAATCTATCACAATTATCAGCATTTCCTTTAGAAGTGCATCGGGCGTTGGAACACTTAGAAGAGTACCACGCTTCTCTTGTAAGCTCAAGCTCGTATGAACTTAAACAAGAAGTCGGGAGACTTATTAACTATTTTAAGGCTGCATTGTTTAATTCATTGATAGGTTCTTTTTTTGCTTATTTTATGCATTTTTTATATGCTTGTGATTACAAGGCGTTTTTATTTTGAAAAGTAATAGTCTCTTGGCTTTTTACAGATTATGAATGTATATTGCTAAGTTTTTTCTTTCAGAAATTCAAGATCTTTACGAGGATACATTACTGGATGAGAGAAAATCTATCACACAAAAAACAGTTGAAACCAGGAGGCTTGTAGACCTTTGGGAAAAAGATCCGCCACTTGGTCGTCCAAAAGATGCGCCATTGGCCGCGGCGGTACTGTTTTTTTTGCACAGCGATCGTTTTTGTTGTTTTAAGCGCGATCGGGTTTTGTGAACCTGATGTTTGTTGCGTATTCCGTTTGGGATGTTAGATTTTTTTGGTACTTCATCGTTATCAGTTCAAAAACTTCTGACAGTTTTTAGGACTCGGGTTTTCGCTATGTAGAACAACCCCATCAGGCATCGTCGTATATGAACGGTTACGATCCATCGCTTTCGTCGTATTCATACCGCAGTGAACAAAGACGAGAATATGTAAGTGTCTTTCAAGATTATATTATTTTTTTGCATAGACCTGCTGCGGCCAGAGCACACTATAATCATTTTGGTTCTACGCTCATTCTAAGAGGTAGATGGTTCTGAGTTTAGCACTGTCGATAAGAAATCTTCATTGCTTTAGTAAATCAAAATATGTACGATAAAAAGCCTCTGCTTTAACTCCAAATTACTTTTTTTGTTGCCATTCAGTTTCTGACGGTATCTGAATGAAATTGCTTCTTTTCTGTCGTCTTTCAAAGGTCGCGTTAGAAGTTTAATAAAGAATTTCATTCGAATAGAAGCTTTGTGGTACAGGTCAGAAACAAGTTACTGTTGTAACGGGTGTCTGGTCCGTGTAATTAGAAGAAATCAGTTAGTGATTGTTCTTATCTCAATTTTTGCCATTACATTTATTTGTAGTACTCTCTGAAAACTGTATGTGAAAAAGTGTTGCAAATCAAGGTAAATGTTCACATTTAGTTGCCATAAGGTTCACAATTAACATTTTTCAAGTTAAGCTTAATAAAGGATAGGCGTGGTTAGGCATTCAAAAACGACCGCATTAAGTCTGTACCTAGTGGGTTTTGACGAATAGCAGGCAAAAGTGCTGTGATGTCAAGTACAATGACATTCTGTAGGTTGTTTTGAGGCGTGTATCAAGGATAATTTTTATTTTGATTTTTATGGCAGCAGTAGGTAACGGCGAACATGTTACCTACCGTTAATAACATTATTAGCAAGTATATGTTCAGGTTTATGTAAAAATATTTTGGGCAGTCACCGAAAAAATTTTTTCATTCTGCTGTTTTAACTCCTTCCATTGCAATAAAAAGTACTATTGTTTGAAGTAAACGACGTGACGATTTCGCTTTTTAGGATAAAATTAGGATAAAAGTGAAGTTCTGATGAGGGTGAGGTGGATTAAACTTTTTTTTATATCCGCTATATATGTATAATGTATATATCTAAATACATATGCGGCGTCATATCGCTGACTTTTCAGTCGACTTCCATACACCTTTTCAAATCTCGCCAACCTGTAGTACTTGATGACAGATTGCAGAATCAAAAAAGAATATTCTTAAAACACACTTTTTGCTAGACGTGGCTACCATTAGGAACTTAGAATTTTTTCTATTTAATAAATGGATTTTAAAAACTTTCTACTTTTGAAAGTTTATCGCCTTTACAGTCAGAAGAATAGTGAAGCATATTATCAACAAATCACGTAAAAGACTAGAGTGAAAACAGGGAGCAAAAGGTATTCAAAAAATCCTTCACTTTGAATTTTTAAAAAAAAGTATATTTTTTGAAGGCAGAATTTCTTATAAAATATAAAAAAAGAAGATAGTGTCTGTGTGGTAAAGCAAGTGTATTGGGACTGGGATGTGGAAGTTTGGTATTGGCTCCGGCACTTTGGCATCTTTTTTAGTGATAACGTGCGAGTTTCAGCTTAACCATTGTTGTATTGAGACGTGCATCAGCTTGGCTAGTTCGAGATTGTTGGTAAGAAGTTTTTTGTTGGGTGGTTTGAAAGTGCCCTTTAGGAAAAAAGCCGCTGTGATGGTTGCTTTTTTTATTCTTATTACTTTGGTTATTCAGTGGGTTCTATTTGGTTTGAATATATGATAGTGCTAGTTGTAGACGGCGAATATATTTTTGTAGTGAGGCTCCCAAAGGCGCGCTAATTTACAATCTTGCTGAAAATTTTTCAATGATGGTTTGGAAAGATGTATAGAGGTTTCATTGAACCCTTGGACAAATACGCAGGCCAAGACTCATCCGTTTGCGGTATACCGGGGGAAGACTCTGAGATTTCAACGACTTTCTACAGCCTTGTTGTAGCATCAGACTCTCATACTCATGGTGAGATAGCGTTATGTTTGTTCATGCGTCGCATGTCAAGCGTTTTGGTAGGGAATTGGAGTTTTAATTAAACTATTTAATTTTTTGGTGGAGTAAAATAGTCTTTAAAAAAAGAATTGGGAAAATTTTTTGAGGCTTTTCCATTTTGAAGGCGTCGAATTTGTAGCGGAGTAGTACTTCTTTGCCAAATCGCATGGAAGTTTCTTGTGTGGCAGAGAAGGGAGTTGGAAAGAGTCAGCAGAGAAAGTTAACCTGATGAAGTCTTAAAAACCAGTAACTCCTACATCTGGGTGCTGGAAGAAACTTGCATTTACAGAGAAAAATAAGAAGGAGGAGGCTTCTCTAGCGTCATGTTTTCGTTTGGGCTTACCACCGCCCTGTGGTTTTTAGCACATTCAAAGATTGATACTTTGGTGGGTAGGCCGTAGCAAAACTATGTTTACTGTTTACAAGTAGTACTGAGCGTCAAATATATGGGTCAGAAGAGTTCGATGTTGTAGCGTAGCAATAAAGATCAAAAAATTGGCCGTTACGGCAGCCTTCTTTTTTGAAAATTTTTTACAATTGCTCAGAACCGAGGAGTTTTCAACCAAGTATTTGTCATTGAGCCGCCAAGCTGAAGCATATTCTGATACAACAGCATTTCTTTATGAATCAGGACATTGTCACTTCCGGAAACGCCAAAGCGCTTCAATTGAAGGCTTCTTCAGCCTATCGACTAACGCATGTTAACTCAGTGTCGCTTAAAAATACTACTTTGCTTTTTTCAGTGTTCTATAGAAAAGTCGTTTCTTCAAGAAATGTTCTTTGAAAATTTAAAGGGCTTTTCAGGTACAACATTTAAATTTCTTGTTTTCACTCTGATCTTTTTTGTGGTTCGTTAATATATGTATTTCACAATTTTTGTAAGTGTAGAGGGAGGAGAGCTACCAAAAAAGTAAAAATTCAAAATTTCATTATTAATGAAGAAAATTACGAATATTTGTGGGGGCTCTGTCAGAAAAAATTATTTTTCTCTCATTCCGGGGTGTTGTAGCTATGATGCCAGCACACTTTTTGAGGTAGTCTATTCTGAATCTGCATTCGGATACCGAGTTCTGCGAGCTGGAAAAATTTGAAAAAAGCTGTAGGGGTCGACTGAACGAAATGGGCCATCTGAAACTTATAGATAATTCCATCTTGACTTTTACACTCCTTTGTTCATTAGATGACAAACGATGGTGGATGGAAAACCAGTCAAACAATAACGCAAACAACGCCATCTGGACAACTCATCACAACAACGGTAAGCATTTGATTGTTTTTGAGAGAGGAAAAGAAGGTATTGTTTATTAATATAAAATTTTTTCTTTTTATTAACAAAGAAATTGAAAACAAAGGAAGAAGAACGTGTGCAGTCAAGATAAAACTAAATCAGCGTCTAGTATTTCAAGGTTATCTAATCTGATTTG